ATCATAGGAATATCTTTTATATTATAAGTGCATAAAGCTTTTAACTCTTAAGTCTTTATATTAGGGACATAGAAATTATTTATATCATCAAATTATTTTCATATTATTATGTATAGTTTCGTTTAGTTAGTATAGATTTACCAGTTACAAATATGGTAAAAGTACCTTGTTGTAATTAATAATAAAATTACATCCATATAGATAAAACTCATTATATAGAGAGAGATTTTATTAAAATGATTAGCCCATTGAGTCGGGTCAGACCCAGAAGCTGGTTGTTTTTTTCCTTTTGTCACTTCGTTTGGGGTTGAAAATGTATTAACACGTTTTAAAGGATAATTTAATGATTAACATGATATAATTAGAATTTTTGAGACGGAAAAATATTTAATTAGAACTCATCTATTGACTGTGTAAAAAAACATGATTAGGAGGTAATTATGTTAATTGTTAAACATGTTGTTTGGTTTTGTCAATTCATAAATTGTCAAATAATATTTTTTTCTGAAACCAAAGAATTCTGAGATTGCACATAGATAATTTATCAAATTAGTCAAATATTTACTTTTGATTTTGTCTTCTATTAAAAAAATTGTTGTGTTAGGAATGAAAGAAGATTGTTCACATTATAATATTCTTACATCATACAACATTAATTTGTTTTTTTTTTGTAGAAGAGTAAAGTAATACTTGGAGAGGAAGTAAAATGGGCCGGGTCAAATTTTGGAACTGATTTATTTTATAATATTTGCTTATTTTTAGTCAAGAAAGATATTAATATACAAATAATTTGAATATTCTAATCTTCTTTGTCATATTCTTCCGACAGTAGACATAATACTGAGCAGGTGTTTAATCATAGAATTTGATCTTCAATTTGAAGTTTTAATGTAAATTGTCAATTTTTTTGAAATTTTAAATTTCAAATTTTAAATTGTGATTTTAAAAATAAATAAATTATTTCTTTGTCACATAGGAGAATTATATTAAAGAGTAATTGCATTATGATTCTTGTTCTTTTTTTATATTGAACTAACTTGAATCAATTAATGTCGTATATTTTTAAAGAAGTTTTTTGATAGTATATTATAATTTTTATGAAGTGATATTTGTAAGCGACATAAAAGTATTATAAGTCACAATTTTTGATAATTTAAAATATTTAAAAGATCTATGAAAAATTTAAGGTCAAAAATAGACTTATTTAAATCTTAAAATTTAAAACGTGTCATATAAAATAAAACAATCAAATACTTAATTAGGAAATTCTAAAAATAGAACATCGCTTGACTATGAACAACAATTG